CATTTAACACTGTGCTGGTTAGCATTATGTTGACTTGAAATTAACTGGAGTCGTTTTAGAAGAGAGAACCTCAATTGAGAAAATGTCCCCAACAGATGAGCCAGTGAGCAAGCTTGTGGTGCATTGTTTTGATTGATGGAGGAGGGTCCAGCTCGCTGTGGGCGGGGCCATCCCTGGGGCTAGCGGTCCTGGGCTCTTTCTATAAGAAAGCAGGTTGAGCAAGCCTTGAAGAGCAAGTCAGTAAGCAGTACCCCTCCATGGCCTCTGCATCAGCTCCTGCCTCCAGGTCCCTGCTCTGACTTCTCAGTGCCGGACTGTGACGTGGAGCTGTAAGCTGAAATAAACCCTTTCCTCCCCAAGCCACTTTCGGTGGTGGTGGTTTATCATAGCAACAGAAACCCTAAGACAAAATACCATCATAAAAAGTAGAAATATCTGTATCAGGGGTGAAAAGTCATAATATACAGAAAATATAATAAAACTACAAAATAGGCACATCCTAAAATCGCACCTCCCAGGGCCTCTTGTAAACTGCTGTCATAGCCTCCTAATTCAGACCACCACTGTTACGTGTTATGGGTGACATCATCTGTCGGCCACCGTAACAGCCCACAAACATTGGTGGTGACTTGTTTTAAATTCTGTGTGGGGTGGAGGGGTTCAAAGCCGTTGAGACAATCCTCTCAATTTAACCAGAGTTTTACTGCAGTGCAGATGAAGGTGTATGATTTTGACATTAGGCTATGGCATCCAGTCTAGCTTCTGGGAAAGGGTCTGGCAGGGGGTGCTCTCATTTAATAAGCCCACACAGGCGCACTGAGAGCTTAGTGCCTGTCATAATAGCCAGGAAATCTTCCAAGATCTCTGGGATTTGTGTTAAACATAGCAAAGGGGCCGCAAATTCTCAAAGTACGGGTAGCACTGAGTAGGTCTGTCTCACTGAGATATGCTATCCTAAAATTAAGTCATTGTCTTTAGGAATTCTTGAAAGCTCAACCTGGGTGAATGACTATCACTACAACTTCAATTTTATTTTTCACATTTTCCACCAAAATCCAAAGCTAAGTTCAAACCCACTTGTTGGTGTACTTACTTTACCTATATTTAAGACTGCAGCCATTTTACCATAATAAAAAGCCAATGAACTCAAATATATTGAATTACAAAGTAGCTACAAGTGTGTGGTTGGCTTACACAACAGGAGTAATCAAAATGGGAAAAGCAAACAGTACCTCGATGTTTTTACTGGCCACGTTCTTCACAACAGCAGGAAAGAGTTCAGATGCGTTTTTCCCCTTCGCAATCATCTAAGGGTTAAAGAGGAGCATTACTTTTAAAAAGTACTTTAAAAAGGACAGAAACTTTTAAGTTAGTAATCTGAAAACCAAAGTTATTCTAGGAAACTCTACACGTTAAATATTTCAAAGATTCTGTCATAAAGCAAGCTACACAATAACAGTTCAAGTTTTCCAGTGTCAACCACATCCCCACTACACAGATCTTGAGTACACACTCTCTGTGTTTCATACAATACACACATATATAGACACGTAAAGGGAAACTATACAGCCAAACGAGGAAGTGCACTCCTGTGATCCCAGCACCTGGGAGGGAGAGGAGAGGCTCCGAAGTTCAGGGCCAGCCTAGTCTATGTGAGACTCTGTCTCCAAAAAGGGGGCTTGGGGAGGAAGAGAAGGAGAAAGGAGGAAGAAGAAAGAGGGACAGGAACGGAACATACACAGTAAATTAAGAGATGTGTAGAAATGGTACAGCATCTTCCCCCTGCTAACCATATTGCAAACACCCTTCACTGTGTACCCTTGCTTCTCTCTCAGGTGCTCACATTAAAAACGTAGTACATATGCAATGGGTGCCAGGATTGTACAAGCTACCTCTCCTGGCTTTCTCAGAGCTTCTCTGGAATTTTTCATAAGTCTCTTCACTGTGCCCACTAAAGATCTGTGGACCACCATCACTTCCAATGCCCCAAATTTCCAAGGGTTCATTCACTCTTAGGACTCCCACTTCTACAAATAAAGACCAGTTTCCTGGAGCTCTGCAAATTCCCAGGCCAAGTTCAGCCTCCCTAACTGCACATGAGCAGCTGTCTCATCCCAACGTCACTCTGCCTAAAACCAAACTTGGTCTTCAAGAAAAAATTAGGAAAACAGAACACACTGCAGTAAAGGTGGAATTTATTATTTCCACCAATCCTCTTCGACAACAGAAAACAGAAAGGTGTTACTCTCTTCTCACATCTACACAGTAATCAGGGCCTGTTGCTAATTCCCATGTGTAACAGGTGATGTCACTCTTTGCTGCTCTGACCTACCTCAGGTCGGCATCACCTCGCTGAGGACCCCTCCACCTGTTCCACCTAGGACCAGTCCCCCAGTACCGGTAATAGAGACCACAGAGAACGTAATATGGAATCCGACTTTGAGGCCCAGCGGTAGCTCAGCAGCAGCAGGTTTATCTAGCATGCACAAGGTCCTGGGTTCAATGCACCATGATGGGGGAAAAAAACCCACTCCCACCCCCCACTCTCCACCCTCACCCCCACCCCCCAATCTCCACCCCCACCCCCACCAAATCCTCCCTCTGCACATGTCAGCCTGCCTCAAAAGATTTCAAAACTGCCTGACAATCTCTAGTCCACACTAATCCACTTACTATTCAAATGTCCTCTCAACTGCACGTGGTCTAATGCTGTTAGCCAAGTACTCACCCTAATAGTGCCTGGCCCTTCTCTGGTTCTATGGCTATCACATTTCCAACCAATTCATTTGACTTTTCCACATTCTGTCTTTCTAAGATACCACCTCCCTCCCTACAGCATCCCCAAGGATCTGACTCTCTTCCCTCCCTAGAGCATCTCCAAGGATCTGACTCTCTCCTCCTTCCCTAGAGCATTCCCGAGGATCTGACTCCTCCCTCACTAGAGCATCCCCAAGGATCTGACTCTCTCCTCCTTCACTAGAGCCATTCACAATGATCTCTCTCCTCCTTCCCTAGAGCCATTCACAAGGATCTGACTCTCTCCTCCTTCCCTAGAGCATCCCTGAGGATCTGACTCTCTCCTCCCTCACTAGAGCATCCCCAAGGATCTAACTCTCTCCTCCCTCACTAGAGCATCCCCGAGGGTCTGACTCTCTCCTCCCACCCTAGAGCATCCCTGAGGATCTGACTCTCACCTCCCTCCCTAGAGCCATCTCCAAGGATCTGACTCTCCTGTCTCCCTTGTTAGAAACACCTCCTAGAATCTGTAATCAACACTTTGCAATCTACACTTTGGAATCTACACTTTGGAATTTCCCATGTGCTACAATAGAGTTCAAGTTATTTACTTGCATTTTATATCCATTTGTACATTATTTTCTTCTCATTCTCAAAACAGTCCTTCTCCAGCTAAAGTGATATATCAGCTTTATTCATAAGTGTATTATATAAATACTGGGTGATAGTTTATGTTTTATAATTGCAGTAAACATTTCTCCCAATTCCTTTCTCTTACGATATCCTGAAAATACTCTGCAAGGCAGCTAGGCATAGAAGTGCCTATCTATAAGCCCAGTCTTCGGGAGGCTGAAGCAGGAAGATCTACGAGTTTGAGCCAGCCAGGGCTACAGAGCCAAATGTCTCTCAAAAGAAGAACCAAATAAACATTCCTTATTACAATCTCATCTTTTAATACTGTATTTCCTTACTTGTAACATTTTTATTTGTATGTTTTATGAAGCTTGATAAGCATCATAGAAAATTCCCAAACTACTGCAGCTAAAACACATCTTGATAAGACTGGCAAACTAACTTCAAGTCCCTCGCCCACAAGGCAGGTGCTCTGTAAGGACCTCACTGGAAATCCTGCCGAATTAAACTCTACCCCAAGCTGGCTCAACTTTACACTACAGAAAGATGTTCATAACATCAATATATGAGGAAGTGGAAAAAACACCCTACAGTACAATTCTAGAAGTATTTGCTGAGAAAATACAATGAATGAGAGATGCAATGGTCCTGAGCCAGGGAGTCCCTCAAATGGGCATGATGGTCCATAAACAGTAAATACCATACATGAGGGAAGCAACCCTGAGTACCCCAGAGAAAGAGACAAATGGGGAGTCCTGAAACATGGAGGTGGAGGCAGGAGCTGCTCTTTCTCTGTACAGTGATCACAAGGTTCTCCTCTCAGGGGAAGCTGAGGAAGAAGGGGAAGAAGTGTGGATGTTCAGAGATTAACAGCTTCCACAGCATGTTCTGTAAGCAGGAGGCCAGAGCAGCCAGGGGAGAGTAAGCTAGGGGAAGAATGGCGGGACGTCACAGCATGGGGACCACAGACAGGCAAGAGGGGGTGGCTTTGCACTGTTGAGGGTGAAATGGAGGACCACTCCAGAGTTCTGAGCAGAGGACAGGTCTCACTGGACTTGCATCTCAAGAAGATCTTTCTAGCTTATGAAAAAGTATGGAAAAGACAACAGGAAATACACAAGTACCCACAACAATTATGAGGCCACTACAGTCATCCAAGAGAGGGTAGGAGACAGTGAAAAAAAATGGTGAAGTTTGGAGTTATTCCAGAAATAGAGTCACGTGAGTAAGAGAGAAAATTGAAAAGTGAGGCTGGCACATGAGTACCTGGAAGACAGACCACTTACTCTGATGTCAAAGATGAGAAGCAGTTGGGAGATGAGAAACCAGGAGTCGGTCGTTGAGAAAGCAGCTGAACACCTTGTTGGTGTCCCTCTCCCTTCAACGTTTCCAAGTTTAACCTCTCTGATACAAAAGGAGTCACTCAAGCTTTTGAGGGGTTTGCAGGACTACATTGTGCCAACCTTACAGTCTATGTATTTACATGAAAGCACCATCTCTCTTTATGTTTTGTTTTGTTTTGTTTTTGTCTTTTGAGACAGGGTTTCTCTGTGTAGCCTTGGCTATCCTGGAACTCACTCTATAGATCAGGCTGGCCTCGAACTCCCCGAGATCCGCCTGCCTCTGCCTCCCGAGAGACACTATCTCTTAAAGACCATTATTGTACTGCCGTATCTTCAGCCAAGATGTCTCCTAATTGCTAACACCAGACTCTTTATACTAAACGCAACTGTTACAGTAAGACTCATGCCTACCACTTTATTACCTTTTTTCTGTTTGCTCAGAGTGCTATATTCTTCTATGTGCCCTTCCTCCATCTTTAAATTTTTTTTAAATTTGGAAGGGGGTATGCAATTGAGTATCTGTGAACACATGTTCATGTACATGGGGCACATGTCTGTATGACTATGCTTATGTGTGTAGGTAAACATGAATGTGGAAGTCAGAGGACAACCTCTGTGTCAGTCCTCAGGTGCCTTCATTTTGCTTGAGGCAGGGTCTCTTAGTCTGGAACTTGACCACATAGGCTAGACTAGCTGGCCAGCAAGCTCCTTAGAGATCTGCCCATCACCCCAATCTCAACACGGATGGAAGTGCCAAGCACATGTCACTGTGCCTAGCACCTGAATTTTTAATTTCTATTTGTTACTAGTGTGTGTTTGTGCATGTTGCTGTGCATGTGGAGAGGTTAGAAAAACTCTTCTCAAGTTTGTCCTCTCCTTACACAGTGGGTTCTGGGATTGAACTCAGGTTGTCAGTAACCCTGCTAGCCCCATGCTTGGCTTTTTAATGTGGCTTCCGAAGATCCTACTCAGGCCCTCATGTGTGACGGCTTCAATGAAAAATGTCCCCATAGGCTATTATATTTGCATACTCAGTCCCCAGCTGATGAGCTGTTTGGGAAGGACTAGGGGATATGGCCTTGTTGGAGGAGGTGTGTCACTGGAGGTAGGCTTTGAAGTTTCAAAGCCCGTACCAGACCCAGTCTCTCTCCTCTTCCCCCCCCTCCTCCTCCTCCTCTTCCTCCTCCTCCTCCTCTCCCTCCTCCTCCTCTCTGCCTGCTGCCTGTGGATCAAGATAGAAAGCTCTCAATACTGCTCCAATGCCATGCCTATCTGCTCCCTACCATAATGATCATGGACTAACCCTCTAAAGCTGTAAGCAAACCCCCAATGAAATGTTTCTTTTATAAGGGGTGCTTTGGTCATGGTGTCTCTTCATGGCAATAGGAAAGTGACTGAATGTGAGGAGATCAGTAAAGAAACCAAAATAGCCATTTTGTGGGTGAAAAGGGAAAAGTTTATTCCAAACCGCCAAGGTTATCTCTTGGGAAAACAGAGAGAAGGGCATGGGGGGGGGGGGATTGAGGATGGGGATCATCAGGATAATACTGGGATGGATACCTGGGGAAAGAGGAGCCAGTGAGCTGGGGTGGGTGGCTCTGAAACATCTAACTTGTGAGTAGGGACTGAGAAACCTGTAGGCTAGCATGGTCCCTTCTGTGAGATAAGGAGAATGACTCCTTTTGGCAAATGGGAACTAGCTTCCTGAGGGAATACTGGCTTTGGTCTAATGGAAAAGAAGGTTTTTTTCAGACCTGACAGTAACTAAGTCAGAAACTGGTACCAGGAACAGAGGTATTGTCCTGACAGGCCTAACCTGTTGGAAGACTTTGGGACTTTGGACTAGAAAAGCAGTTGCCCACTAGGATCAGGGAAGACAGGAGTGTTGAAAACAATGTGGGCCCTGCTCTAGTAACTTCAGAGAGGAAGGATCAGTGAGTGGCCTAGAGACCATTCTTGTGATGTGTTGGCAAAGATACACTTTTTGTCCTGGTCATAAAAACTTGCCTGAAGAGCCAGGCGGTAGTGGCACACACCTTTAATCCCAGAACTCAGAGGCAGAGGCAGGCAGATCTCTGCAAATTCAAGGCTAGCCTGGTCTACAGAGCAAGTTCCAGGGCAGCCAGGGCTAGACAGAGAAACCTTGTCTCTAAAAACAAACCAATTTTTGCCTGGAACTAAAATGATGCTTTGGATTAATGGCTGGCAGAGGAAATTTCAAGACAGTCTAGTATTGACTCTGTCATATGGTTATCAGTGATCACACTTATCCAGATCTACAATGAAAGGAACTAATGAGGCAATGAAAAATACAAAATGTACAGTGTGAGGGGGAAAAGAGCATGAGAAAATTCAATGTTTCAGCCAAGTCCTGGACACAAGGAGGTAAGTTTAAAGAAAATTCTGACGCTAAATGTAATCAAGTCTTGTGCACAAGGAGATATCGGAAGGCACAGGCAGGTGGATCGCTATGAGTCTGAGGCCAGCAGGGTCTACAGAGTGAGTTCCAGGACAGCCAGGGCTACACAGAGAAAGAATCCCTGGGGTTTGGGGAGAGGATAAAAATCTTGATGTTCAATGTAATAATAAAGGGAGTATTGGGCTCGGGGCAAGACCCCACCCAGCTAAGCTTCCAACTTGTGAAAAGGAATTAAAGGAAAGCTTTAATAGCAAAGGAAACAATCATATGCCCCAGCAAGCAGAAAATCTCGGCAGCTCAGGCCTCGTGGTTGCGGCTTTAGAGTCAAGAAGGAACCAGAAAAGGCACTAGGGAATCTACTCTGCTGTTCTTCAGGAAAGCTACTGAGGCCAGGGGTTGGGAGGGCATCCCATGCACGGAAGCCTGAAAAGGACATTGCAGGAGCTGTGAAGGTGAAGCCTGGACTGCAGTGGCGATCCCAAGAGGTTGGAACTGCCAACCTTGAACACCCATCAAGGAGAGCTGCAGACCAGATGTGGAGCCAGCCCAAAGGAGAGCAGTGTGTTGCAGTCCACAAAGCTGGAAGAGGTTGGAGTGTTTTGACGTCAGACATGGATGTACAGATTTGGAGTTGCCCTGATGGTTTTCGGTCTTGCTTTGCTCCAGTGTTCCCTCACTATGCTCCCTTTCCTTCCGTTTGGAATGGTAGTGTATATTCTGTGCCATGTCAGTGTTCTGCTGTTAAACTTCTATTTTATAGGGGGTTACAGTTAAGAGATTGCCTGGAGTCCCAGAAGAGACCTTGGACTTTTAAACAGTGTTGAGACTGTGAAAGACTTACATGGCTCCATGCTGATGGGGGCCAGGGAGTAAAATGCAATGGCTTGGCTGAAACTGTCCCCATAGGCTCACAGATTTGCATACTCGGTCCCCGATTAAAGCACTGTTAGGGGAGGACTAGGAGCTGTGCCCTACCTGGAAAAGGTGTCCCCTTGTTGGAAGCGGTGCTCAGTGTGGGTGGGCCAGGCCCGGTGTTTGTGTCTGTGGATGGGGATGGAAAGCTCTCAGCTACTGCTCCAGTGACAAGCCTGTCTGCTTCCCACCGTGATGATAAAGGAGTAACCCTGGAACTAAGCAAGTCCCCAATTAAATGCTTCCTTTCATAAGGGTTGCCTTGATCATGGTGTCTCTTCATAGCAACAGAGCAGTAACTAAGACATCTTATAAGGCAAGTGCTTTATGAACTGAGCTGTTCCCTAGCTACTTTTAAAAATCTAGTATTTTTATTTTATATTAACTTTTCAAGCTTTGGTTTCAAGAGGAAAAGAGATGAGAGAGTGGGAAGGCAGATGAGGGACAGGGGGGATAGACTAACAGGCAGATACATACATGACAGACAGACAGAGACATAACACTGACCAGGTCAAGTAAAACACATTAAATTTATGACAATGCAGACTCTTAATCTCACCTTCCCACTAGCCTCTCTGAGACAGCTGTCATATATATTATATTTGTGTCCATTCAAAATTTCCCAGGCAGACCTGAAGCTGGACAGGTCATGAGCCCTAGAGGAAGAAGACGTACTACTATTTCTATGCTAAATGGACAGAGCAGTAAGACTTACTGCTTCACCTACAGATCACTGCACCATTCAGTGCTTGTCAGAGAAATTTGGGCAGGAGACGGCAGGTAACGCAGACAACGTGCAGAGGGTAAGAACCTGTGGAGTGCCAGCCCTAAATGGAATGTCTCTCTCCCATCTCTCCCCACAAGGCTGAGACAAGGTATGTGGCTTTGGAGAATGTAGTTTAGGACATCACCTCTCCACAGCATACCTTACCACCTGATCATAGCTGTATCTAATAAAACCAGTAACTGAGAATGTGACTAGACCTTGGTTCCTATACTGCCTTTTATAACATCTTCACATACCAACTCGAACTATAATACCTACTTCCAACACACACACACACACACACACACACACACACACACACACACACACACACACACCCTATATTTAGCTTACTCACTTCCATTGGTACACTTAATGAAATGTGTGCATCAATCCTAGAGACAAGGCTGCAGAGTTCTAGTTCCCTGGTCCTTCCATTCTGCTCTGCAGA